AACTTTTTTTTAAATTTTTTAAAACTTTAAACTTTACAAAGTTTAACTTTTTAACTTTTTAGTTTGTTTAGATTTCATGATGCGCACTTAGTGAACTTGCAGCTTAGATCTTGCAGAACATATTTAGTTTTGTTTAGATCTTACAATATATATTTAGTTTGGGTTTCGTGATATATTTTGACATATATTTAGTATTAGCAATTTGGTAATTAGCTTGGGTTTCATGATATATATTTAGCATAAATTTCACTATATATATTTTATTTAAGTTTCGTGATATATGGGGGTGAGTCAATAGAAATGGACAAATCGGGTAAATCATAATTTTGAGATAATTAACTTTTTGTATTTTGTTACACAAAATTTTTTCAAATCCGGACTATGACCGAACTACTCCGAACTAAATCCGAACATCGCTAAGTCAATAGAAAAGGGTCCTATGTTTATCGTTATTCATTGTCTACATAACAGGCCGACATTCCTGATCATCGCTAAGTCAATAGAAAAGGGACAAATTTATCTGTCCCATTTTTATTGACCTGCCTTTTTTATTGCCTAAAAGGTCGACATACACTATTAACACATTTATTTTCAGAGTTATACTTTAAGAACGTTTGAAGAAAAACTATACGTGATTTAGTTGTTGAAAGTTCTAAAACCTGCGTGTTAGTCACTGAGCTAAAATCACCTAGGGGAAATTGGCGAACAAGGATTTCTGGTCGAAAGAGGCGCTTAAATTGGTGAGGGTACATCATAAAAATACTACCCTGTGATTTATGATTGCCTTTAACTTTCTTCTGTATTTATAATAGGCTTGAAAATTCTGTCAACTGCCCTAAAAATGAGTTCGCACATAAAACTACCGTAAATTGCCGTGCAAGGTATCTGGATATTTTACATTCCACGTAACAACAAACCTTGATTTATACCTGGGTATATTGTATGGCAAGGGGTATATTATATGGGGGCATTTTGTGAAGAAAGTATATTAAATCGGCCATTGATTTATACCCGAGTCTCTTACAAAATACCACAACAAATAACCTTGAAACATACCCAGTACAAATCAAGGCATGTATATAACAAGGAAAGCCCCTTGCACGACACTTTACGGTAGTCAGATTAGTTATGTAAGCCTTTGAAAAAAATTGGAGAATTTAAATAAGGATCTTGGTTTTTTTATTTTAGGCTTGAATTAACGAATCAGATCTGTTTTATCTTAAATGCTGAAGTTTATTAAATTTAAAGAATTTCAATTTATTTATCTTACTAATAACTTTTATTATTATTTTTGAACCTGTCAGTAAGCCGAGTTCTCCTCAATGTGATTTACCATTGGTCGAGATGGTACTCAACTATTGCGATTAATTGAACATTATGATGAGTTTGCTAAAATTCATGGTGCAAAACGCAAAACTTAGATTCTAGCAAATTAGGTGACTTTATGGAAAAAAAAGATGTATTGCTTTTTTTTTCTTTTCATCGAATAATTTCCCACTTTGTCTCTGTCTATTCAATTTCTGACTAATTAAGAGTTGCTCCAGATCCATTGAGCGAGGTGCTTGAAAATAGGGTTGCGAACGGCTACGATTATTCATAGCCAATTTGCTAAATTCTTAGATGATTTTTTTTATTTTTGAGTCTTCAATTAAAGTTGCTCAAAATTAATTCTGTTCATTCCATCTTATAAGTGAAAAAAATGATACTTTCTCTGGAACTCAGAATTTTAAAATTTGTAACGTCATAGCTGGCTACTAACCGGCTATGATGTTAACAAATTTTAAAATTCTGAGTTCCAGAAAAAGTATTGTTCTTTCCACTTATAAGATAGGATGGACAGAATTTAATTTTGAACAACTTTAATTAAAAACTCAAAAATAAAAAAAAAATCATCAAAGAATTTAGCAAATTGGCTATGAATAATCGTAGCCGTTCGTAACCGAACCCATTTCTACTTGAGAACCCCAAACTAATACTTTTTTTAGATTTATTGATTCGGAAAGCAGGAAAGTTTGACATGAAAAAATATTTGTGATTTGAATTATGCTATTAAATCTTCCCAAACTGATACATAGCGAACAGGTTTTGTATCGGTTATTGGACTTGCAGAAACAGACGTGGCGGATTAAGTGTTTATCAGAGTTGACAGGATATCAGTTTTGGGAGGTTCAACAGTATTTCAAAGCTTAATTCTTTTAATTTCATGATGAATCAATTACAGTATTTAATATTTTGGGAGAAAGAAATATATTATTATAAATATATTTAAGATATTGGTTATTTAAATAAATATAATACAATTTTGTAAAATCCTATTTTATGTTAAATGAAGAAAGAATTTTTTATTACACTTTTTAATATCAATTTCATAGCAATTGTCAAGATTATTTAACCCACCGTATTGAAATATTATGGTTAAAACTTTCACAATTTCTTTTATACAAATAAATAGTTGCCTATACAACTAAACTAATTTATATAATCGAAGCAATTTGATAGTAATTTATAATACCGCCCTTTTTTTTTTATGCCCATATAAGCTGTTTTTCCAATATCTTATTCAACTTTAATTTCACGTAAAAGATGCCAATACTGCACTTTTAAATATACTTCTTATCACTGATGATTGTTGATAATAAAAGATATGTTTACCGTGATAGTAATAGTCAAAATTGTTTGATCAGTGTTATATGTATATGTTAGCTGATTAAAATGGTTTAAATGTTTAGTTAGACTACATTTTCTTATTACTATAAATACTAATTCAAAATCTAATATTTAAAAATAATAGATTAGTTATTCTTTGTATGAATTGTTTAAAACATTACTGTAAATTGCTGACTAGTGTTTCCGGGTATTTACAATGGCTAGAGATGCACTGGCGCCAGGGTTTTTTTCATTTGTTTGCCAATCCAAGTTTTTACCCTAGGGTGTTTTTAAGACATAGTGTTATTGACAGAGTGTTATTGCTTTTTTTAAAGTATACTCGTATATTACCAGCATATTAGAAAATTTTAGCTCTTAAGTACAAATCATTGAAGTATCTACAAGTCAGTAGTTTACAGTAAATTGAATTTTAAATTTAAAATAAAATTTATTACCATTCAGATTATTTTTTAATTTTTTTTGGTTTGGGTTGATTAGGTTTAGAGCAATAAATGTCACGTTTTTCTGGGTTTTGAATGTGTTGCGCAACTTCTTCATACAGATACCATTGTCTTTCTAAACTAATTCCATGAGGAAGAATTACATCTGGAAGAATCAATTCATCATTTTTTTTCTTTGGAATTGAAGAAACACGTGCAATCAAAATTTCAATTTCATCTACATCAAATGCCTTTCGAATTCTTACCTTACCAGGATGTTCATGAGATATAACAAAATGATGTTGTGTAAGAATAGATGGAACCGCAGTAAAAAACTGATCCAAAAATTGACTCCAATTATAAAATGTAATTTTTCTATTCCCATTGGAGTCAATAACTGTATCTGCTTTGTTATATCCACCGGTTGTAGATTGTTCGACAATATGAACTAAATCTTCTAAATCATCTGCCTCTAAATTTCTAAGTTTTAATTTAAATAAACCAAAAAAACCATCTGGCCTGAACTTTGTATGACCAGGAACCATGAAACTATACGTGATTCTATCATGCAAACCATTTATTACCCGCCAGGATAGATATTTAATCATCGCATTATTTTTATTTTGGCCGATGCAGTTATCTGCATGAATGGTAATACGCTTTTCACCGAGGCCATGTGTAGCAAAATAATGATGGATGAGAGATATTACTGTATTTGGGCCCTTTCCAATATTCTGGTTTTCTGAGATAAGATAATTAATCTAAAGAGAAAATTAGTGACTATGATAAATTATCGTTACTTCCAAATTAGTAAGACAATTGATTTCTGTAAATGTACGTACTGCATATTACCATTGTATTTACAATAGTAATACAGTTGCACTCCCTAAGTGCAAGTACTATAAGTACTATGTAAAACCTCTCTAAATGCATGATACGGTTTGGCCCCAATTTATAAGAACCCTATGTATTTTATTCTCTATAAGTACAAACCTTCTCTAAGTGCAAAATTTTAATTTTTTTCACTATGGTCCGGTGGGATGTACTTAGAGAGGTGTGACTGTATACAGATTCATAAAATTCATAGAAATCAATTGTTATACTAACTTGTTAAATTTAATTTGCTTGGTGCTCTGTCCGTATAACTATAAAGCTATCTTTGATTAAATTACCTGCCGTGGTATTGCCTCTTCACATATACCAAATACTTCAACCTTATAAAGTGATTTAAAATATGTTGCTCCTTCTTGCTGTGAAGAGTAAGGAATTTGTACATTTTTCGCAAAATCCCATGAAACGTGATTTTCAATATCAATTGAGTTTGGAATTCCAGGTCGTGAAAAATTAATTAAATTTGAAAAATTTAAAGCTATTTTAGCTCTGGAAATACAATTTCTAAAATATATATATTATTAGTAATAAGAAAAATCTAGATAGTGCCTCTATACAATTAGTGCTTCTATAACCAAATAAGAAAAATTTTAAAATAAAAATCATGATTCATGCTAGAGTTAGGGTAAAATTGCATAACGAACATTTTTAGTCACACAATAGGGATTACCTATATAAATCTTGAGATATTAGGCACAAAGTGTATGAGATACTTTCTATTCCTGTCCTTTAGTTATATATATATATTTAAATTAAAATTTATATTATTATCTATAATTTTCACGTTCTAAACATGCCCAGTTATAGTGAGCTATCCATTCATTCAATTTTTGAAAAGTTTCATTAGTATTCCAATACTTAGCTCTAAACCGTTTTTTTTTACAGAGCATACATAGATCACTACGTGCAGTCATAAATTGAATTCCAGGAAGATACCGTTTCCAAATACGGAGAAAGCTCGACAAACTAATTTCACTTATTTCATGTTCTAAACTATCATAGATTCGATATAATGATCGCTTACTTTTACATGCCGGTAAATAGATTATTTCACGAGTATTATCTCGAAAACTACGCCCTAAATATGTAAATATTTTAGCAATAATGATAACACTGTACGTATGATATTGACAAAATATTCTTATTAAAGATTTATATGTAACAAATATACTATAAAATATATTATATTTATTTCTTAAACTGCTAGCATATAAATTTACATGCAAAAAATAACACGTAACATATGAAAACTAACAATTTAAGAAATGCACGGATATTACAACCTGCAGTGTATATTATATATAGTATATATATACTATTTGTACCCTCCACTTTTGCTATTTAAAATCCACTAATTTTAGGAGGATGGGTATTGCTAATACCTCCCAATTTTGCTATTCGTACCCTTTTCTATATAAATAACTAACTTTTATTGTAATATAAGAAGTTAATTTCATGTCTTTGAGTTATAATATTTTTGATGCACAAACTATATATTGTATCACGATTATACCATGTAAAATGATTTTTTTTTTATAGGAATAGGTATGAATAGCAAAAATAGAGGGTATAAATATTTATGAATGAATTATTTTACCGGGTGATGGGAGTCCATGTTGATTGGCGAAGTTCATAATAAACTTAAGCACATTTAACGTAGTTGTAAAAGAAATTGCATGGTTGCTAACACATCCTGTTAAACCATGAATCTTTGGTGCAAGACCAAACTTTTAATAATGTTCATGTAAAGCCTCCCACCTTCTTTTTTGAATATCATAAATTAAATACCAAGCTTTTTGACAAATCGGAATACCTTCAAATTTATAATGAGTAGTTAAGTATGCTTTTTGAGTTCCATTTTTAAATTCTGTAACAATCATGCTAGCATCGATTATTCCCAAAAAACATAAATTCGATTCATTTTGAGACATC